TTATTACATCCTTAATCGTGTCTCTCCGCCCCCGGGCCTTTCAACGGCGGAGGCCCTACACCCCCCACAGCCCCCCCCGACCCCACGGGGGGGGGGGGAATTCTGGGAGTTGAAGTCCACCCGTCTTAAAGCGGCCAAGGTTGAGACACACTTGCTTAAACTGCTTTGGGAAGAGAGTTTTCCTTTTTAGCCCAATGTTTCTTTTTGCACCAAGAAGGCTTCGCTTGGGAGGGGAGCAAAATGCGTTGGGTGTCGTAGGAAGAAGAGAGAATCGAGTCCTTGCCAAAAAAGGCTTGCAATTTCGAAATACCGATCAGCAGCCTCCATGAGTCTCGACCGCCTCTTTCGGCTGTCCCCCTCCAGGACTGGAGTTCCCCTGGGGTCCCCGGCCGTTCAGCGAGGTCATTGCTGGCCCTCTTCTCCGAAATAGCGGGCCGCCCCACGACAGCAGCGTCCTGGATGGCTCTCACGTCGGGGTTTACTTCTCTGCACACTGGGTGAGTTTGCTCTGGGGGGAGGACCGGGGGATATTTCCATCCTGCTTTCCGGAAAAGGTTTCCCTGAATTTTTTTGCTGTCGTGCCTTGAAATGGCACAACCTTTCAGCGTTCTTTTGCGGGCTGCAGATTTGGGCTACGGGAAGTGTTAAATGTGTTTTGAGCGGGTCAGAGTGATGGATTCCGTCTTGAAGTGTTTTGTTGATCCTGATTTAGGAAGTCAGACACGTTTGCCCCTTCCTTCCAGATTGACTGATGTGCAAAGAATGGATGTTCTGGTTGCAGGGGAAAACTTGGATCCAGATGCAAAGAGGTTGAACTGCAGATATTTTGGGGGTCCTGCAAGGGACGTGCTAAAGCAGTGTTTTTCAACCTTGGCAGCTTTAAGATGGGTGGACTTCAACTCCCAGAGTTCCACGCTTTAAGATGGGTGGACTTCAACTCCCAGCATGCTGGCTGGGGAATTCTGGCAGTTGAGGTCCACCCATCTTAAAGTTGCCAAGGCTGAAAAACATGGGGCTAAAGGATCCATTCTCTGCACCCGTTTTTTTTCCCCCAAGGAGGAATCCAACTTCCTATCTGGGCATGTAGCAAACTGAATATATCGTGCTTCAGTAGACGCAGTGGCAATTCATAAGTATCAGCGATGTGCAAAGCATTTCAACCTCAAGCTGTTTTGCATACGAATTACGCCATTTGGAAAAAGCAGCTTCCGCTTCTCTTTCTACATTCAGAGTGAATTGTTCCAATGGTTTTGAAAGTGTTTGGGGCTGGAAATCGCTATGCTTGACTTTGAAACACTTTCATGATGGTTGAGGCTGCTGGTTTGGGGGGGAAATGACCATTTTGACCTTGAAATGGGCTGTTTACACCCCCAGTAAACACTCATCAGTAGGGCTGTAAGCTGAACATTTTGCCCTTAATGTTGTTTTTATTTCTGATTAAATTTAAAGAGACAGTTTGTACTGCATATTTTTTGTGTGGTTCTGTGGCTCTATGGTTAATTTTTACAGGTAGTCCTCGCTTAACAACCACAATAGGCACTAGAAAATTGGTTGCTAAGTAGGGCGGTCATTAAGTGAGTCGCCACGTGACCGGACCCAATTTTACAACCAATTTTATGATGGTCGTTAAGTGAGTCACATGTTTGTTAAGCGAATCCAGCTTCCCCAATGGACATTTTTGCTGGGATTTGGTTAACAACCACGTGATTCACTTTACAACCGTTGTAAAAAAGTTCGCAAATTGCAATCACAAGACCACGGAGGGTGGTGAGACAGTTTGCAATGGTCATAAGTGCGAGTACAGGTTGTAAAGCACTTTTCTGAGGCTGTCATAACTTTGAACCATCATTAAATGGTCATTAAGCAAGGACTACTTGTATTCTGATTTCTCTTTAGCTTGTAATGGTGCTTATCTGTCTGCATTTCCTAGAGGGAATTTTCCACCGTATTGGCTTTTTGCTGATGGAAAACCCACTTACGTTTCTAGTCCACAGTGTTTCTCAGTTTGCCAACCTGCTAGCATGTCATTATTCCAGTTGTTTCTGGCACATGCATGAGAAAGGAAAAAACAGATCTTTTTTGCAATACACCAAAAGCTTTACTGGACAGCTGATTCCCAGGCTGTTGATCTTAACTGTAACTCATTTTCTGCATTTTTCCTTTTGCAGTGCCCACCTTGTAGAAGTCTCACTCGGGTACTAGTGGAATCCTACCGGAAAATCAAAGAAGCAGGCCAAAAATTTGAGATTGTCTTTGTTAGTGCAGACAGGTAATACTAATTCCATCTGGTACATAAGGACTACATTGCACATACATCCAATTTGCTTTTACAGCACTTTATATACCTGTGTGGAATGGAGATAGATGAATTATTCCGAGCCCTTCTTCTGCATAAAAGGAGAAGGAAGAAAGAAAAACAAGTTTCTAGTCCCTAAGATAAGGGTTTTGTGAGTGTGTTCATTGCCTGATTGCATTTCAGAATCTGGGAAACGTTCAGCATTGATGCATAAATACACTCCTTAATGTGTGTGCTTGATTGCCGCAAGGGGCTGCATTCTTAGGAGCTGCACACCGTCCCTGCAGAGCTGTCTGATGGAAAGATAACCAAATGTTGTTGGTCAGAGAGGCAGGCCGGTACTGAACCCAAAGCAAAATGCATTATCCAATGGGCCAGAATCGGCAGTGCAAATTTAATGGACTTGTCTCAGCCGCTAACATTTGCCTTGCTCTAAATATCCATACTTTTGAATCCTAGCCCCTCTTTCCCCGTCTCCCCTCCTCCAGATTGGGGTCCCCCATAGGAAAAAGCAGCACAGCTCCCCCCACTTTCTTCCTGAGCCGTGCAACCCACAGCCAGCCCCCCACCCCACCCCACCCCCCCCCCCGAATCCAGCCCCGCTTTGGGGTTGACTCACCCAGCTCCCCTCCGCTCCCTGTGTCCCCTGCAGGTCGGAGGAGTCGTTCAAACAGTATTTCAGCGAGATGCCCTGGGTAGCGGTCCCCTACGCCGACGAAGGGCGGCGGTCGCGTCTCAACCGGTTGTACGGCATTCAAGGTAAGCGGGAGCGAACTCCTTGCGGGCCTTGGCAGGACTGACCGGTTGCTTTGGCGCTTCCACCGGGCCCATCTCTCTCTCTCTCTCTCTCTCTCTGGGTCTATGAAGATGAGAAGGTGGGACTATGCAGATGAGTTGGGAGGAGTTATATAAATTGGAAAGACAGAACTATTCAGATGTCAGGCTGGGATTGGGTGGAGGGGAGGGGCTGTGCAGATAAGAAGGTGGAACTATGCAGATTAGTTGGGTATGGTTTTGTGATTTGGAATTGCTGTGCAGGTGGGTTGGGTGTGGTCATGCAGATCAGAAGAGCTATGCAGATGAATTGGGAGTGGTTATGCAGATTGGAAGGGCTATGCAGATGAGTTGGGTGTGATTATGCAGATTGGAAGATCTGTGCAGCTGGAAAGGTTAATGGCATTCAAATATCGTGGGGATTATTTGGAGGGGAGAGGTCTGCTGATCTGAGGGTGGAGCTATGCAGATGAGTTGGATGTGGTCTTGCAAATTGGAATTATTATGCAGAGGTGGGTGTGGTTATGTAGATTGGCACCACTATGCAGATAGACATGATGTGGTTACGTAGATTGGAAGGCCTTGCAGATGTGTTGGGGGACAAAGCAGCTGGAAAGGCCATGCCATGCAGAGGGGAAGGAAGGGCTCATGGGATACTAGCAAAGACAGGCGAAATGAATGGACAGTCTCTTCCACTATGGTAGCCCCTGACCCAGTTTACCCCACCCACCGTGTGCTTCCAGCACCCAAGTAAGAAACTGTGGCTGGGTTAGTGGCTGACGGGGTTAAAAGCATCACACGCCCTGCCTCCGTGTTGCAACCCTGCGTGACTGCCTGATCTGGGAGGAGACCTAAACCAGCTGGCTTTTGATAGAGTGGGCACCCCCCCATACATTCAGCGTGTCCTTTGCATACGTTACCACGGTCATCCTTACAACAACCCTGTAAAGATGGCACTAAAACATCATTTGGAGAAAATACAGGTTGGATGCTTCCCTGCAGAAAGCCTGAAACCCAGATTGCCTGGTCGGACCGCATCAGTTGCAGAACAGCCCTGCCATGCAGATGATACTGTGGCTTGTTCTGAAGGCCCACAAGGCAGGATGCTGGCCTGAACCTTCTCTGCTAAGGAAGAGATGCAGCATTTTGGCTCAGTTGGGGTGCATGCCTTCCTGCCACCTGGGTTCCCTTAAATCAGCCAACGATCGCATTTGCCCTTTCTGCAGTAGCACCACGCCAGTGGCTTGTGAGCAGCCTGCCATGGCTGCTGTTTTGCTCTGCCTGGTCAAGAGGGAGGAAAGGAAAGGTTGGGAGAGCTGAGGCTGCATTTGGCCGCGTTTGCAGGAAACCTGATTCCAGAACAGCTGAACAACAGGTGGCTGCTGTGGACAGACTGACTCCTGACATCTATCAGGTTTCTCTGGCAGTGCGTAGATTTGACAGCAAGAAAAGTGACGGCAAACGGTCCAGTGATCCATAAAGGCAAAAATAGAGAGTTGCACTTGGTTTAGCGCATGCTATTTTCCCAACACATCTTACAAGCTCCAAGCAACCACAGTTTTTCAGGTTCTCCCTTCCTGCCGGTTCCTTTTAACTGGGAACTGACCCTGCAATCTGGTGCCCACGAAACAGAATTGCTGCAACGGAGCAGAGAATGCCCAGGCGGTCATTGTGCAGACAGGTTTCGGTCCTGAAATGTGCTGGGTGGAACGGGAGAGCGGAGGCTTAAATCAAGCTGTCCGCTCAAGAAGCGCTTGTTAGTCCAAAGGCCCAGTCGAGTCTGAATGTACACGAGCAGTTTGGGAGCCTGGCCAAGATCTGAAGCCATGGGGTTGGAATGCGGAGGGAGCCGAAAATAAGTGCACGGAGCAGCTGAGTCCGGGAAGTGAGATGGTGGCTTGCAATACACCAGGGTTCTGTCAACGGCCCATACAGTAGACCAGGGTTTCTCAACCTTAGTAACTGTAAGATATGTGGACTTCAACTCCCAGGATTCCCCAGCCAGCATGCTTTAAGATGGGTGGACTTCAACTCCCAGGATTCCCCAGCCAGCATGCTTTAAGATGGGTGGACTTCAACTC